TGGCTACAAAACCAGGGAATAGGACAAGGAAACTCTTAGGAAAACCACTGACCAACTCCATTGTCTTAGTCTGTCCCCTGGTACAAGCAGTTCTTTGTGCCATCTGGCTGCTGACCTCTCCCCCATTTCTCAATATGGACTTTCACTCCTTAGTAGGAGAGACCATCCTGGAATGTAATGAAGGCTCAGCTTTAATGTTTTATGGTGTCTTCACCTACCTGGGTTTCCTGGCCCTTGTCAGTTTCACAGTGGCCTTTCTGGCTAGGAAATTGCCTGACAGCTTTAATGAAGCCAAGTTCATTACTTTTAGCATGCTGGTCTTTTGCAGTGTATGGATCACCTTCATCCCCACCTACCTAAGCACTAAAGGGAAATCCATGGTGGCCGTGGAGATCTTCTCCATCTTGGCATCTGGGGCTGGTCTCTTGGCTTGTATCTTTTTCCCCAAATGCTACATTATCATACTTAGGCCCAATCTGAATTGTAGGGAAAACATAATGAGACACAAAAATGTCTGATTGATGAGTGGACTAGAAACACTTATTTTGAATTTGGAGAATTTTTGTATTTAATGTCATTTCTTAAAAATTATGAATATTAAATAATTGCTAATCAAATGTTGTGCCTGATCACAATGTTTCAGTTAATCATCAATAATCACCCACTATTTATTTTTTATGTACTTCTATTGTCCATAGTGAGGCCCTTATGATCAACTTGGTAATAAACCTTGGTATCAATGATGTGGATATTATTTTATGGCAGGATAGTTTCCCCCTTATCAATTTTAATCAAAAGAGTCTTTAAAAATGTCTTGAATATGGTTTACCATCAACATTTTTAAATACATTTGCTTCCCGAGGCTTTGCTGACTTCTCAATTAATTGTTCATTAAATTGATAATTAAAAGTATTTCTCTAATTCCAGAGGTCTTGTGAACCATATTGTTTTACTCTGTATTTACTTAGTAGAGAAACATACTTTATTAATAAATAAGATAATGCGAAATAGAGGTTAATGCATATTTTTCTAGCACTCCTTTTGTTAGAATTTTTTCATCTTTTCCAACTGTTATGAAGAAGGAAGGATGGTGTACGATGAGACATGTGGTTTATCAAATTAACTGCAACAATTGTGCATGCAACTACATAGATGAGACCACTAAGCGCCTTCAAACAAGACTGCATGAACACGAATTGGCCATCAAATGCCATGAGCAGTGGTCCCAAGTGTGGGCTCACACCGCAGAATATTACCACACATTTAATTTCACAGAGGCCAGGGTCATTGCTCATGATGTAACAAAGGGTGGCCATCTGCTAAAAGAGGCATGGCTATTAAACAAGCATTCCATCAACCGGCACATTGAACTGTTACCAGCTTATCAGACATTACGCCAGCAATATCCTTGAATAAGAAAACTGCAAGGATGAAACAGCCGCAGATTCCCACTGACACAAATAGGTCAACAGAGGATCATAACCTTTCCTCAATGGACTTATTGTCACGTCAAATGATAGGAGGCAGACGGTGCTGATGAGTGACAGCAAAAGACCTGGAATCAACATGGACAGGGATGATGACAGCAAGAAAGAACAATTAGCTGAAATGACAGCATCGCATATGGAGACGTCAGAAAAGTGACGAGATGACTGCGTGAGGCAGAACGCACCCACCGCACAGGCGGGGTGCGAGGAGAGGAGCAGAGCACCAAAATTCAAACAATGAGCATGACGGAAACAACAGACCAATTAACCACGGGAGGGCGGAAGCAGAATAGACCGGTAACACGCTCGTTAGCCAAATGATTGGCGTTACAGAGACTATAAAAGTGTTATTGTCAATCCTGCCTAGAGCTCTGATGATGTCAGCAGACGCTGACGAAAGCTAAGTTTTTAAATAAATTCTTTAGTCTCAGTGATCTGTGTTTTAGTTTTTTGAATATGAATATACCCAAGACTCGTATCTTCAAAACTATTTTAGATACATATTTATTTATTTATTTATTTATTTATTATTTGAATTTATATCCCGCCCTTCTCCTTGCGGACTCAGGGCGGCTGACAATCAATTAAAAACACCACTAACAATATGTACCACCACTAATATGTATGTATATAGCATGTCTCTGTGTTATGTATGTGTACATTTTTGAGAGCAGGCAACAGAATTTCATTTCATTCAAACAATGGCATAGGCTAGACTCCATCTTGGGTACAATTGCTAAGTTTCAAGTAGGATGAAAACCACCTGCTCCTTGACCCTCAAGTCCATCTGCTCTTTGTCTCAACAACAAGAGACACAAACATGTTTTTCCTCTTCTGCTGTTTGAAGAGAAGCTATTGCTAAGAGGGTATGATATTAATGTTCCTTGCAATTATCAGAAGAGCAATAATTCTTAATGTATCCCCTGTGAATTTCTACCCAGAAAACCTTTCCAAAGTAAAACCTGTTTGAAAGAAATAAGCTCTTGACTCTCCCAAGGGAGGCTAGCCATGTCACATCATTGTGTCTTGCAAAGAAGTCATTTCTTGCAATCTGTGAAACAATTTTCTCTTTGGTGGCAACTCAAACCCAGGTAAGAGAAAGCACACTTGATATAAATTTGCCTTGAAGCCACCCACATTGCATAGCCTGCTTCTTCTGTCCTGCTTCTTCTGTGTTAAAGTTCTGGTGAGCTTTACTGGGAACCAAATAAGTCCTCAAAAAACAATCGATTTGTGATCTAGGAAGAAAAGTGAGAATAATGAACAGAATGACTCTCCTGCTGCTTCTTCTTTGGCTTTTGCCTTCAATGACTCATAAGATAATGCAAAGTGTATGCATACTTAGGAACCCTTTGCAAATTCTGGAAGATCACTACAGGACTGGTGATGTCATTATTGGGGGGAATTTGCCCCTGATAACCTTTTCTAACTTTAGAAAGATGGAATTCAACCGTGAGCCATTAATGATGCCACTTTCAAAACGGTATTATTTATTTTATTTATTAATCAATTTTATATAGCTGCCCAACTCACTCATAAGTAACTCCGGACAACTTACAAGTTTAAAAAACAGCAACATAAAACCCATAAATCCCACCTACCCACCCCCATAGTAGCAGTAAATAAACAAATCAACCACTCTTTTCACCTAGAGGGGAAAGGGGTAGAAGATTCTACTTTATTTTGGATTCAGGGACTCCTTTCAGAAATTCTTCTCCTAGTGATGTTGGCAGTGCCAACAGTACAGTACAGGAGCCTTGGTGCTTTTCTTGATGAAGAACCAAGCTCATAAACAGTGAGACATTGGTGAAGCAGTCATAGCAGTGTCTGCATTTTCTGCATCATATGAGAAGAGCACTTCTTCCTTTCCCTATCCTTACCACTTTCTATAGAAGGACAATTGAAAGCATCCTGTCGTACTTATAATTGTCTGGTTTGGAGGTATTATTGTTTCAGACAGAAAGGCTATGCAGAGAGTGGTGAGGACAGCATAAAGTATCATTAGATATTCACTTCTTTCTTTTCTGGACATGGTATATAAGTGCTGTTTGACCAGGGCCTGCAGTAATGTCATCCTCTCCATGACCGGTTTTCTTTGTTACCTTCTGGGACGAGGCTTTGTGCTATCAGAAGCAGAACAACTAGATTCTGTAATAGTTTTGTACCATATGGTATCAACCTTGTTAACTCAAAACTCTTTTTTCTACTATGTATTCAAAATGGATGTGAATATATATATATTCAATATATTCCCACCCAATCAGTTCACACACCCACTGGCAGTTAAAAGGAAGAAACAGCTGCGATCACACATTACTCCTAGAAGCACGAAGCCGAAAATACCAGCCTGAAGATGACGAATGGGACTTCGTCGAAACGTCGCCAAGACACTTCCAATTTTATCCGGGAGAAAACCCAAATAACCAAAGACCTACACACACACACATATATATATATAGAACCGCATCTACATGGAGGGAAGTGTGTAGTGGGGTGCCCCAGGGCTCTGTTCACATGAAGTATTAATACCACTTTACAATGCCTTGGTAAGGCCACACTTGGAATACTGCATCCAGTTTTGGTCACCACGATATAAAAAAGATGTTGAGACTCTAGAAAGAGTACAGAGAAGAGCAACAAAGATGATTAGGGGACTGGAGGCTAAAACATATAAGGAAAGACTGCTGGAATTGGGTATGTCTAGTTTAATGAAGAGAAGGATGAGGGGGGACATGATAGCAGTGTTCCAATATCTCAGGGGCTGCCACAAAGAAGAGGGAGTCAAGCTATTTTCCAAGGCATCTGAAGGCAGGACAAGAAGCAACGGATGGAAACTAATCAAGGAGAGAAGCAACCTAGAACTAAGGAGAAACTTCCTGATAGTTAGAACAATTAACCAGTGGAACAACGTGCCTCCAGAAGCGGTGAATGCTCCAACACTGGAAGTTTTTAAGAAGAGACTGGACAGCCATTTGTCTGAAATGGTATAGGGTTTCCTGCTTGAGCACGGGGTTGGACTAGATGACCTCCAAGGTCCCTTCCAACTTATTATTATTATTATTATTATTATTATTATTATTATTATTATTATTATTATTATTATTATTATTATTATTATTATTATTATTACTACTACTACTACTACTACTACTACTATTATTATTATTATTATTATTATTATTATTATTATTATTATATATACATAAATAGTGTGTGTATATATGTGTTTGTGTGTGTGCATAATGTATATGTGTGTGCCTATATGTGTATGGTTATATATTTATTTTCTTTTGAGAGTAGGCATCAATATTTCATTTTTAATGTGTGCCAGTGTGTTCACAGAAAAAAAAAGTGACAACAAAGGTTATCTTATAAATTAGGAAAAATGTTCCAGTTTCCCTGGACTCCTCATAAGGAAGATAATAAACAGCATACAAAGAAGGGGAAACCAGTTAGAAACTGTGCTGGCCTAGCAAAGAAGTTGAGTTAAAATATTAATTTAGACAGAAAGTCATGGTGGAAAACTCAAAGAAATGCCAATCCTTTTACAGAGTGGAGGTGTTTTTAGAAAAGACAAACCTGGTTGTCACAGATGAAACAGGTTTTGGAAAGGAAAATCAAGCTGCCAAAGCAACTTTAGAGATGTATGAACCATGGTTGTTTAGGATTGCAAATTACCATAATATTAGGGCAGTACCATCTACAAAACATTCCAATCACATTTTTGTCCAAAGGCTCACAAAAAATGGATTCACCATCTCAAAGTCCAGGACAACACGCACAGAGACACACACACACACACACAAAAGGAAAGGAAAACTACATCACTACATACAAGCGTCCATGTAATATTCCAAAGTGTTTTCTCATTCTAGTATGATACGCAAGAACTACCAGCTGTTTCTGGCCTTGGTATTTGCAGTAACAAAGATCAACAAGGATTTGCTTCTCCTCCCCAACATCACACTCGGCTTCCATATCTATGACAACAGACACACTTTTAGGAGGATTTCGTGGAACAGCCTCTCCCTGCTCTCCACACGAGGCCAAATGGTTCCAGATTACAAGTGTGACAAGCAGGACACTCTGCTCTCTGTCATTGGAGATCTCACCACCAAATCCTCAAGGCAAATGGCCTCCATCTTCAGCATCTTCAAGATCCCACAGGTAAGGGGGTTTCATAGGATACCAGTATAGAGCAGATACAAAACAGAAGCGCATGCAGAATCCAAAGATGAAGTCAAAGTTATTTAGGCGCAATTATGAGTCCATGATTTGGAGAACTCATGCAAGTATTGGATTTAATTTTTATATTTTGTCTGTCAGGATATATATTTTTTATACCCTCATCACAAAGAGGTAAACAATAAGGTATTTCTGAAATGCTTCCCTCCACAAATTCCTTCCTAACTGATTCTTTGTAAATGTCGTCACCCTCCAATCCACTTTATTGTATGAATCAGATTAATGGTTTGTTCCCTTGGCTTCTCACATGCCAGATCCAGGCAAACTATGTCAATGGTAGTTTTTGGTAAGGAAAAGGAGGTTTGTCCTTGCCATGGGTGGAAAGAAAAACAGAGTTCTGCTGAAGTGAGTTTTCCTTTCTTGAGAATTATGTTCCTTGGGACTTTAAGAGAGCAAAGAACCACAACTGCAGTGCAGGGTGATCAAAGGGAGACTTTGAAGGCACAGCATATGAGTGGAAGAGGGAAAGCCCATTAAGATGGAAAACTAAAGAAGCAAGAGGTGACTCTAACACATTTTGATAGAGAAAGCAAGGTGACTCTGAAGCTACCACAGCTGAGTAAGGTGTGACACAACTTTAGAGCTCCACAGAAGCAGACCAGCTACAGCCATCTGGTCACAAGGAATTCTGTGGTGGAGAAACAGCTCAATCCAAGGAAAATTTAGAAGCTGATTGAAATTCCATAGGACCTTTTGGAGGATCTGGGATGGAAGGCATTGGATAATATATGACTATGTAGGATAAAAGGAGATTAAGCCATAGACAAGTCTAAGAAGGAATGGTGGTAAAGCTGTATTCATGACCATAAAAGGTGATCAGTTTACATAAGATGAAAGGGATTCTTGTAACTTGTTTAAATATTGTCATTTAGCAATATATCATTAGGAATAAGTAAAAAGAAAAATTGTACATATTATTGTCACATTAGCTAAGTATATTTGTGTATTAAACCAAGCTTAGCCTTAGGGGACTGGAGGCTAAAACATACAGTTGCTGGAATTGGGTATGTCTAGTTTAATGAAAAGAAGGACTAGGGGTGGCATTATAGCAGTGTCCCAATATCCCACAAAGAAGAGGGAGTCAACCTATTCTCCAAAGCACCTGAAGGCAGGACAAGGAGCAATATATGGAAACTAATAAAAGAGAGAAGCAACCTAGAACTAAGGAGAAATTTCCTGACAGTGAAAACAATTTACCTGTGGAACAACCTGCCTCCAGGACTTGTGAATGCTCCAACACTGGAAGTTTTTAAGAAGAATTTGGACAACCATTTGTCTGAAATGGTATAGGGTTTCCTGCCTGAGCAGGGGGTTGGACTAGATGACCTCCAAGGTCCCTTCCAACTTTATCATTATTATTATTATTATTATCATCATCATCATCATCATCATCATCATCATCATCATCATCATCATCATCATCATCATCATCATCATCATTATTATTATTATTATTATTATTATTATTATTATTATTATTATTATTATTATTATTATTATTATTATTATTATTATTATTATTATTATTATTCCATTCCATTCCATTCCATTCCATTCCATTATTCTAAGCTTGTTGATGCATAATAAGGAATATTATTCAGCTGCCCAGTCTTTGGTTTGTGATGATGATGTTGATGATGATGTTGTTCTCCATTCAGTTGTGTCCAACTCTTGGCGTTCTATGGACCAGGTCTCTCCACATCCTCCAATCTTGCACTACTTCTTTGAGTTGTTCTGTACTCTGGTTGGTGTCAGCTTTGATGGTGCCCAGCCACCATTTTCTATAGTGGGCTAGTTTCCTTTTGTCACTAGCTCTTCCAGAAAGATAATTGCTTTCTCCAATGAATTCCCCTGCATGACATGGGCAAAATAAGTGAAAAGCAGTTTTGTGATTTTGCCTTCCAGTGACCTATCTGGCCTTATGCTCTCCAGAACTTGCTTATTGGTTACCTTTGCCACATGTAACTGTAAGCCCCAAAGATTTATATTCCTTGCAGACAGCTGGTCATTTGCATAAATCCTTCCCTTCCCCACCATCCAGTTAGAGCTGAAGAAGCTTCCTGGATGAGAAGTGAAACGTTTTCAAAGAAAAACAAGAAAGTCCAGTTGCCTTGTAAAAAAAACATCTTTGGTACAACTATGACCTGGATGGCTGAGAATCTACATAGACATGTAACTAGAAGCCTCTCACTAGATTCATAGTGAATTCGCCTGACTGGCAGGACAAAAATCACTTGATTTAGTAGACCCCTAAAAAGCCACAGGATGGTGACCCTTTACGTCAGCATAAAATAGGACCATCTTCCAAAACTCATTTCCAAAAAAAGATTCTCCCTTTCCACAGCTTGGATTTGACTTCCTCAAGATCACTCCAGGAGATAGAAAGATTTATCCTTCCTTCTTCCAAATTAATCCCAAAGAATTTCTTCAATATGTGGGTTTAGTGCATCTACTTCTGCATTTCCAGTGGAACTGGGTTGGGCTTGTGGCCCCTGAAGATGACAGTGGTGATTATTTCATCTCAACTCTAATGCCAATATTGAAGGAGAAGGAGATCTGCCCAGCCTTCACTAAAATGTTGAATATTGGTGATATTGTTAATACGTTACTACGCTTAATAGCTTTTTTCGAAATGTGGTTTGAAATTGAAGTAATTATTTTGTTTGGAGACTCCAGTAAAATTGTGTTTCTATATATCGCTCTGCCTATGTATGAACAAAAGACTAAGATGCCATTTGGAAGGGTTTGGATTCTGACTTCCCACTGGGAAGTTAGTGCCTTGGAACCTCAAGAATTATTTAAAATCCTAAAGCCATTCCATGGTTCTTTGCATTTCAGGGACCATACCCATGACATCTCAGAGTTCAGACATTTCCTTTTGTCTTTAGACCCCATGAACCACCAAGGAGATGTCTTTCTCCGTCTATGGTGGGAAACCATTTTTGACTGCAAGATCTCTAAATCAGGAGAGATCCCTCAGAAGAAGACAAAACAATGTACAGGAAAGGAGGATTTACAGAATCTGCCATCTTACATTTTTGAAGTGAGCATGATGGGTAAAAGTTACAACATCTACAATGCCATTTATGCTGTGGCGCATGCATTACATGCCATATGTGGATCAGGAGCACGACCAGCCATGATGAGACTTGGAAAGAAGATTTCAAATGTCCAATCGTGGCAGGTAATCTGGGTGGATTTTTGTCCATTTTAAAGATCTTTAGAGAACAAGTTTTTTATGGGAATTTCTTGATTTATTTAATAAATACTCCCTTGCTGTACATCTAACTATATCCCAAAGGAAATTAAAAGTGCAATTATAAAAAATATAATACAGTGAACTAACTATAATGTTTTAATGAAAAAGGGATTCTGGCAGAGGGAGAGACATTTACTCAAACCAGTTGTCCATAAGATCCATAGAGGAAAGACCTTCCTATAAGTTCTGAAAGGTCTTCAATAATGTGGATTTGAGGTGGATGAATCATCATTCCAGGGAGCAGATGTCAGCCCAAAGCAATATGAAAATCTGGATGTCTTTATGCAAGATGCTTCAACAAGTCAGTGGGAGTCCTACTGGCCACATTTGCTGAACCACTTATCATTCTTTCAGCTTGTAGCCTAAATCCAGACTGAAAAATCAATCAATCAAAACAGAACTGGAAGGGACTTTGAAGGTCTTCTAGTCCAGTCCCCTGCTCAAGCAGGAGATCTTATACCATTTCAGACAAGTAACTATCTAGTCTCTTCTTAAAAACCTCCAGTGACGAAGCACCCACAACTTCTGAAAGCAAGCTGTTCTATTGGTTAATTGTCCTTACTATTAGGACATTTTCTTGATTAGTTTCCATCCATTGTTTCTTGTCCTTCCCTCTGGTGCTTTGAAAAATAAATTGACCCCTCTTCTTTGTGGCAGCCCTTCAAATACTGGAATAGTGCTATCAGTAAGGCATTTGATAAAGTAGATCACAACCTACTACTTGACAAGATAGAAAAATATGGGGTAGACAGCATCACCACCAGATGGATCCATAGCTGGCTGACCGGCCGTACGCAGCGTGTGGTCCTCAATGGAACCGTATCTACATGGAGGGAAGTGTGTAGTGGGGTGCCCCAGGGCTCTGTTCTGGGCCCAGTGCTCTTCAACATCTTCATCAACGATTTGGACGAGGGGATAGATGGGGAACTCATCAAATTTGCAGACGACACCAAGCTGGCAGGAATAGCCAACACTTCAGAAGACAGGCTTAAGATACAGGAGGATCTGGACAGACTTGAACACTGGGAGCTATCTAACAAAATGAAATTCAATGGTGAAAAAAGTAAGGTTCTACATTTAGGCAAGAAAAACCAAATGTATAGGTATAGTATAGGGGGTACCTTGCTCAATAGTAGTAACTGTGAGAGGGACCTCGAAGTCCTAGTGGACAATCATTTAAATATGAGCCAGCAGTGTGCTGCAGCTGCCAAAAAAGCCAACACAGTGCTAGGCTACATTAACAGAGGGATAGAATCAAGATCACGCGAAGTATTAATACCACTTTACAATGCCTTGGTAAGGCCACACTTGGAATACTGCATCCAGTTTGGTCACCACGATGTAAAAAAGATGTTGAGATTCTAGAAAGAGTACAGAGAAGAGCAACAAACATGATTAAGGGACTGGAGGTTAAAACATATAAGGAAAGGTTGATGGAATTGGGTATGTCTAGTTTAATGAAGAGAAGGACGAGGGGGGACATGATAACAGTGTTCCAATATCTTAGGGGCTGCCACAGAGAAGAGGGAGTCAAGCTATTTTCCAAAGTGCCTGAAGGCAGGACAAGAAGCAACAGATGGAAACTAATCAAGGAGAGAAGCAACCTAGAACTAAGGAGAAACTTCCTGACAGTTAGAACAATTAACCAGTGGAACAACCTGCCTCCAGAAGCGGTGAATGCTCCAACACTGGAGGTTTTTAAGAAAAAACTGGACAGCCATTTGTTCGAAATGGTATAGGGTTACCTGCCTGAGCCGAGGGTTGGACTTGATGACTTCCAAGGTCTTTATTATTATTATTCCAACATCATTATTATTATTATTGTTGTTGTTGTTGTTGTTGTTGTTGTTATTATTATTATTATTATTATTATTATTATTATTAATGTTCCCCCTATTTCTTCTTTTCTTTAGACTAGCCAAACCCAAATCCAGCAATCATTCTGCATATGTTTTAGTCTCCAGGCCTTTAATCATCTTAGTTGCTCTTTTTTGTACTTATTCATCTTCTTTGCAATTAAACAACTCAGTTTTAGCTTCCCTCATTTTACTATGGCTTACCCCCCTGGGTGAACACAGACCATTTGTTTAGTATACCATTTATTGTACTGCTCAGCTTGCTGTGTGAAAGAAGCTTTTAAGAATCTCAACACATACAGATGGGCTCCACTGCAAAGTGGTCCTTAAGACCTCCTGCTCTGAGGTTCATCAAGTTGTCCTGTATTAAAGACTTAACCTGGGTTGTTTTGCATTCATAGAAGTATAGAACCAGACAAGCTGTTGCTATTTTCTTTCAGATTCTTCCCTATTTGAAGAATGTCCAGTTCAACAACAGTGCTGGAGATGAAATAGCCTTCTCGGAAAATGGGCTGATTTCTGCTCATTATGATCTTCTCAACTGGATATTTCTCCCTGATCTGTCTTTTGTCCCCATAAAAGTTGGGCAAATAAATCCTGAGGCTCCCCCAGGCCAGGATTTCACCATCAACTTGGATGCAATCATTTGGGCCACAAAGGTGGGCTGGAAGGAAATATTTTGGATTCAGGGATTCCTTATCTCCTGGGGATGCAGAATGTTCTAACTAGAAAAAAAGGTGGACTGACTCAGAAAGGATAACAGCCATGTGGTGAAAAGTCTGTTTTTCATGAAACAGATTCAAGTCTGATTTGTGCTATGTACAATAAGCATTAGGATTGGGAAAAAAAAATACTAATTGAAATGCAAGATGCAGTTAGAGAAGACAACAGAGAACTCCATGGATCATTCTGTTAGGTTATTATTTTTATTTTAGAAAGAAAGGGAAGGAAGGAAGAGAGGAAGAAAATACTTTTAGGTAATCTTCATTGACCAACCATTTCTTCAGGGATTGATTGAAGTGATGACAGTCCAGAATGAATGGTACTTATACCTAGTCATCAAAATTACTGTATGGCCATTGGAGCACCCCAGTGGTCACGTGGTCAAATTAACTATCTCCACCCTTTCTCTTTTTCTCTCTTAGAAGGTGCCCTTTGCCAGGTGTGGCATGAAGAGGTGCCATGCAGGAGAGAGGAGACGTGTTCCAGAGGGCAAGCAGGTTTGCTGCTACCAATGCGCCCCTTGTCCAGAAGGGACCATTTCTAATCAAACAGGTAGACAACCCTTTAAATGGATCAAAAAAGTCATTCGGTAGATCAAAATATTAAAAGCTTTTTGGTCATTTGTGCTAGGCTTGGCATGCTTCAGAATGCATATGCAAATTGCCCTGCCCATCCTGTCTTAACTTCTCAAACCAGAAGAACAAGTATTGACAGGACTGCTCTCCTCACAGGGTGGATACAGCCAAATCACCATGGCCAACTCTCCACAGTCAACTTACTACAGTCAACTTGTCATGGTCAACTCTCTGCAGGACAACTCTCCATGACCAACTCACTGCAAGACAACTCACTGCGGGACAAGAGTTGTACTAATATCAAAGTCAATGGAGATTCTCAGTCATCCAGGTCATGGTTGTACCAATGGTGCTTTTTCAGGAAGCAACTGGACTTTCTTATTTTTCTTTGAAGACATTTCTGAAGAAGCTTCTTGGATGAGAAGCAAAATATCTTCAAAGAAAAACAAGAAAGTCCAGCTGGCTTGTGAAAAAGCATCTTTGGGATAACTATGACCTGGATGACTGAGAATCTCTATAGATAGATATTTAGCTATGCACTTTGGGATGAACACCCTTCGAATGGTGTGGGAGTATGAACAAATTTCCAAAAAACATTGCAGACTACAGGAACCATTTGTGTTTCAGTTTGAGATGCAGACCACAGACTCATTCCCAACAGTCTGTGACTGTCTTCAACAGTGAAGGGACACAGGGCAAAAAAACATCTTGCAGCCAAGCTGTCTGCAAGCTATCTTCAAGGAATATAAAGCCTTCCATTCCCACCATCCAGTCAGAGCTGAAGAAGCTTCTTGGTTGAGAAGTAAAACATCTTCAAAGAAAAACAAGAAAGTCCAGTTGCCTCCTGAAAAAGCACCATTGGGACTAATATCAAAGAAATGGTGGAATAGAATCATTAAAAAAAGGATACAAAAGGATGGATAGAATGAAAGTTGAAAGACAAAAATTAAAATATTTTTTATTTATTTTAAATAAATAAATTGAATTGTCCCGTGGCAAATTGTCCCACAGCAAGCTGGCCGTGGCGAGTTGTCCCATTCCAGGATTCAAAGCAGCAGTTTGTAAATGTCTTGCTGCCCTTTGCATTCCTCCTGTTGCATATCAATGGGAAAACCAACTACAGATGGTTTTTCTGAATGAATGGCACAGTACATCCAGTAGTTCAAAACAGATATTTCTTATAGTCTGCTATCTATTGATCTTGCTGGAAACATATAGCCTGCCCAGGAAATAAATCAATCTGCCTATGTCTGCTAACCCCTCCCTGTAAAATGTCTGATGTAAGAAATTAATTTCAAATGAAAAAAAATCCTCTTCTGCCTCCCATTCCACATATGTACATGTGCCTGTGCCTGTGCGTGTCACCTTATGATTTTATAGCATACCAACAGATAATATATCTAAAGAGCAAATAGCAAGATTCCTGAATATAGATCTATCAATCTTGTTGGGTTTTACATATAAGGAGAAAAAAAATCAGGTGCCAATTTCTCACAAAGAAAGCCTAAATAATCATGCAAATGGCCAGGGACAGGAGAGGGAGAGTTCCTTATCTGTGAGCAATTAATTGCCTGGCATTTGGAACCAAGGGCAATTTGCTATTTTTAAGGGCATCATAAGCTGCCTATTGGTTCCTTCCTTCACTTTCTTTTTGAGTTGGAACCTCAGAAAGATCCTAGGTGGGAGAGATAAATGCTTGCTATCAGTAACCCTGAAATATTTAGACAAAGATTCTTGATTTCAGATGTAGTTCACTGTGACCCTTGCCCAGAAGACCAATATCCAAACAAGGAGAAGGACCACTGCATTGCCAGAAAGATCCAGTTCCTTGCCTATCAAGACACCCTGGGATACACTTTAGCTTCTCTCACTCTGTCTCTGTCCATAATCACATTGGCAGTCCTAGCAATTTTCCTTAAGCATCGTGACACACCGATCGTCAAGGCCAACAACAGAGATCTCACCTACATCCTCCTGGTCTCCCTCCTGCTCTGCTTTCTCTGCTCGTTCCTTTTCATTGGTCAACCAGGAAAGTTCACCTGTCTCTTCCGACAATCTGCCTTTGCTATTCTCTTTTCTCTTGCAGTTTCCTCTGTGTTGGCAAAAACTGTCATAGTGATTCTGGCCTTCATGGCCACCAAGCCAGGGAACAAAGCAAGAAAGTTCTTAGGAAAACTACTGACCAATTCCATTGTCTTAACCTGTCCCCTGGTCCAAGCACTTCTTTGTGCCACCTGGCTGGTGACCTCTCCCCCATTTCCCAACTGGGACTTCCACTCATTGAGAGAAGAGATTATTGTGGAATGTAATGAAGGTTCAGTTTCAATGTTTTACTCTGTCCTTGCCTATATGGGTTTCCTGGCCCTCGTCAGTTTCACAATGGCATTCCTAGCTAGAAAATTGCCCAACAGTTTTAATGAAGCCAAGTTCATTACTTTTAGTATGCTGGTCTTTTGCAGTGTTTGGATCACCTTCCTCCCTACCTACCTTAGCACTAAAGGGAAGTCCATGGTGGCTGTGGAGATTTTCTCCATCTTAGCTTCTGGGGCTGGTCTCTTGGTTTGTATCTTCCTTCCCAAATGCTACATTATCCTACTAAGGCCCCACCTTAATTGTAAAGAAAATATGATAAGAAACAAGAATTTCTAACTAATGTAGGGATAGGCCACATTTATATTTGTCTTTTAGTCTTTTTTAGAATAGGGTAACATTTCTTAAAGAATCATGAAATGAAGGAGGAACTTGTCTATTGCTGTAGAGTTAAAGCAGCTCTTTGTACATCTTCAACATGCTAACTCCTCCAAGAGATTTATCATTTAGGCTGGTGCCTCTAATGTAGCTATCAGGGCTGTTCTTATGGAGGAATCCCCGGGAGGAGGGGAAATGCTTTTTGCCTTATGTATATTGCTCAAAGGCTTTGACTGCACCAGAAAAAAGTATGGCAGCTTTAACAAAGAAATATTAGTGGTCAAGTCAGCCTTCCACCAATGGAGACACTTTTTGGAAGGTGCACATAGAGGTCAACACTGATTGTACCTAGAAATTTTGCAATGATCTAAGCCCCTCTCACCCAATCAAGTGAGATGGAGCCAGTTCTTCTCCCAGTTTGACTTCTACATACAGTATGTTCCCGGCTTGAAGAATCTGATACCAGACACACTGTTTCATAAACCATACTATTCATATGTATGTCAGACCCCAGTAGCTGCCAACATTTTCCATCCTTCTAATTTCCCATATATATCCACTCAAGTGACCTGTGGAGTGTTAGGGGAAATTTAAGCACAGCAGGACTTGATTCCAGGATCAAGGTACAGCAAACTCTAGACCACTGCTTGTAGGCCTGGATGGATGACATTTGGGGGGCCCACCCGGTACAATATTCTCATTTTGGGTGGAAGAGTATTAAGCAGAAGGGCAGAGCTGTGCTTCTTCCATCTTTTAGAGAAGATGTTTTGCTGGCTTGCCATATTAATTAGACAGTTGGGCATGAGGGAGTGTTCAAAATGCTGCAAAGAATATTAAGAGAGTTTTGATGGCCTAAAGTGGAAGAAGACATCAAGAGCTACATGGCATCTTCCCACACCTGCAGAAGGGCTAAATCTTACCATCAGAAACCAGCAGGGCTGTTACAACTCTTCACCACAACCTTCATCCTTGACATACATTCTCTCTGGATTTTATTACTGATTTACCTCCAGTCCATTGCTACACATTCATAGTAGTCATTAAGGTAAAGGTTTCCCCTTTCCAGTCATGTCTGCCTCTAGTGGGAGATGCTCAACTCTGTGTCTTAGTCAAAGGAGCCAGCACTGTCCGAAGACATTTCCATGGTCATGTGGCCAGTGCATATGGAACACTGTTACCTTCCCACTCTAGTGGTACCTATTTATATCTATTAATATTTGCATTTTTTGAACTGCTATGTGGGCAGGAGCAGGTAACAGGAACTTACCCCATCACACTGCACTTGGGTCTCAAACCCAGGCTATCAACTTTCCAGATGACAAGATCAATATTAATTGATGAGCCATTGAGCTCCATAGTAGTGATAGTAGATCTGTTTACCAAGATTGCTGAATTCATCCATTGTAAGGGATTTCCCATTGCAGAAAATACTGCTCAACTCATTTTGAACCATGTCTTCAACTAAGATATTGAGACTCTAGAAAGATATTGAGACTCTAGAAAGAGTACAGAGAAGATCAACAAAGATGATTAGGGGACTGGAGGCTAAAGTATATAAGGAACGGCTGCTGGAATTGGGTATGTCTAGTTTAATGAAGAGAAGGACGAGGGGGGGACATGATAGCAGTGTTCCAATATCTCAGGGGCTGCCACAAAGAAGAGGGAGTCAGGCTATTTTTCAAAGCACTTAAAGGCAGGACAAGAAGCAATGGGTGGAAACTAATAAAGGAGAGAAGCAACCTGGAACTAAGGAGAAACTTCCTGACAGTTAGAACAATTAGCCAGTGGAACAACCTGCCTCCAGAAGCGGTGAATGCTCCAACACTGGAAGTTTTTAAGAAGAGAGTGGATGGCCATTTGTCCGAAATGGTATAGGGTTTCCTGCCTGAGCAGGGGGTTGGACTAGATGACCTCCAAGGTCCCTTCCAGCTTTACTACTACTACTACTACTACTACTACTACTACTACTACTACTACTATTAGTATTATTAGTATTATTATTATCATCATCATCATCATCATCATCATCATCATCATCATCATCATCATTATTATTATTATTATTATTATTATTATTATTATTATTATTATTATTATTATTATTATTATTATTATTGAGGCATAGTGTCCAGAATGGTCTCAGACAGGGGAAGTCAATTTGCCTCCTGGCTTTGTTCCAGCTTTTGAATGCCTGAGTAACTTTGTCTTCATCCCTACCACCCTGTTACGGATAGTGAGGCAGAGAAAAGTAATCAAATTGTCCAATAATTTTTGACATGCTACTGCCCTTGCAGCCAAGACAATTGGTCTTCACGCCTACCAATGCCAGAATTTTCATACAATAACTTTCTTCACACATCAATAGCTTGATCCCCTCTCAAGCTTTGTATGGCACAGATCTAAGAGTTTACCAAACAACAGGAGTGAGGAGGGCTCCATCCCAAGACCTATGGATAGATTGCAAGAGCAGCTCAATCCACAATGTTGAAAAGCATTTGCGGGGGGGTGGGAAGAGAAGTGAAATAAAACAATTGTCTATAACAGAAGCCCCCAACTTTTTGGCCACCAGAACTAGTTCCATGGAGAAAGGTTTTTCCAAGGACCACAGGGGCATGTTTTTCTGTTCTGCCTGCATCCTAGTGATGGGGCTTTGGTTGTTTGTGTGGCTCAGTTGATGGCATGCTGCAGACTCAAGCCTGCCCTTGGACCAGGGGTTGGAGACCCCTGGTCTATAAGATCCGTGTAAGAAAGCCCTTGCTATATGAGTATTAGAGGGACCATTGGAAGCTGTTCAAACCGCCATTTTATCAGAAGTCCAAATTACTCTAATTTTTGAAGATCTCTTTTCTTTCAGCTTCTTCCCTATTTGAGGAAAGTCCAGTTCAATAACAGTGCTGGAGATGAAGTCTCATTCGCAGAAAATGGACCAGCATCTGCTCGTTATGATCTTCTCAACTGGGTTTTCCTCCCCAATCATTCCTTTGTCCCTGTGAAAATTGGCCAAATGGGTCCTGGCACTTCCCCAGGCCAGGATTTTACTATCAACTCCAATTCAATCATCTGGGTCACAAAGGTGAACTGGAAAGAAACGTTCTGAATTCAGGGAAAGATTCATTCTCCCCTAGGAATGCAGAATATCCTTCTCACTGCAAAAAAATAATAATAAAAAAGATGTATTGAATCAGAAAATATGACAGCCATGCTATAAAAGTTCTGCTTTTCATGCAAAAGATTCAAGTCTGTTTTGTGCCATGTCCAATAAGGCTGGGGTCCTGGCTGAAACTTAGGGTGCATTTAGAGAAAGCAGTAGTGGATTCTGTGAATCATTCCTGTTTAGTTTGAATGTTAGAAAAAGCTGTAGCTCAAAGCCATAGAGCAAGAATATAATTTCAGGTAGTCCTCATTAAGCAACCATTTGTTCAGTGGTTGTTTGAAGTTAAAATGGCACTGAATGAATGGGACTTATACCCAGTCCTCAGATTGTTGGCCATTAGAGCACTATTTCTCCCATCTCTGCCTTTTTGGTCCCCTATTTTCTGTAGCTCCTGCTGCACTGTGCTCTACTATCTCCAGCATACTTTTGCAATTTTATTGATGCCACTTCCACACCACCCAATTTCCCTCCATCTTCATAGGAAATGGGAATTTATCACTTCCCCATTCAGTCAGACTCTGAGCATTGTAACAGGGTTAAACATCAGAAAAACAGATAATAATAATAATAATAATAATAATAATAATAATAATAATAATAATAATAATAATAATAATAATAATAATAATAATAATAATAATAATAATAATAATAATAATAATAATAATAATAATAATAATAATAATAATAATGATAATGATAATAAAGTTGGAAGGGACCTTGGAGGTCATCGAGTCCAAACCCCTGCTCAGGCAGGAACCCTACACCATTTCAGACAAATGACTGTCCAGTCTCTTCTTAAAAACTTCCAGTGTTGGAGCATTCACCGCTTCTGGAGGCAGGTTGTTCCATTGGTTAATTGTTCTAACTGTCAGGAAGTTTCTCCTTAGTTCTAAGTTGCTTCTCTCCTTCATCAGTTTCCACCCATTGCTTCTTGTCCTGCCCTCAGGCGCCTTGGAGAATAGCTTGACTCCCTCTTCTTTGTGGCAGCCCCTGAGATATTGGAACACTGCTACCATGTCCCCCCTCATCCTTCTCTTCATTAAACTAGAAATACCCAATTCCAGCCACCGTTCCTTATATGTTTTAGCCTCCAGTCCCCTAATCAACTCAGTTGATTAGGGGATCAACTCAGTTAGTTCTCCAGCTGTGGGAATATCTCTTTGGTTCAGGACTAGTTTTTATGTACCTTTATCCAAAATTGCATGACTCAGCATATTTTGCATGATCATTATCATCTCATCAAACTTTTTAGAGAGACTTTCACCTACAAGCTGCATGCTGCCCAGCCATCTTTTCTTAGGTTCCAGCCATTGCTCAGCCATTTCTTACTCTGTGAAAATTGCTTAGGGAACAAAGAACACTGAAACAGAAGGAAACTGGAAGAATGTTTCCTGATTATTTAAATCCAAGTTTAAAAGAAAACACATAAAAGATAAACTCACAACTATTTTGCAAATTCGAAAAGTCCAGAAATCCTATAGTGAGAGTCTGCTACCCACAGCAAACCTTTGCAATCTTGTTGATAACAACAACAACAACAACAACAACAACAACAACAACAACAACAATAATAATAATAATAATAATAATAATAATAATAATAATAATAATAATAATAATGTTGGAAGGGACCGTGGAGGTCATTTAGTCCAACTCCTGCTCAGGCAGGAAACCCTATATCAGTGGTGGCAAACCTTTTAGAGACCAAATGCCCAAACTGCAACCAAAAATCCACTTAGGTATTGCCAGGTGCTGGGTGGGTGTGGCCTGCTGGGTGGGCGTGACTATGGTGGTCATGGCAGAC